TCTCTCTCTGCATCTCTTTCTCTCTTTCTGTGTGCATGTGCCTGTGTCTATCTGTGTGTATGTGATTGCGTGTGCTTGTTCGCTATTATTTATATAATTTATGTCCACTGGCCAACTCACTCACTCACGCACGCACGCGCACACGGGTGTCGACGCGAGTGTTTTTGCATAGAGCCCCCCAACTCTGTGTTTGCGTGCTGGATTGGCGTACGAGGAGTTTGTCAAATAAGCGTCGCGGCGTGGTGGAATCAGGCGCTCGTCAATTTTTAGGCATATGGGGTTATTGGTATTATCTTTAGGCCTGTTCATTTGCCTTGCTTTTGGTTTAAAAAAATATCCATCTATGTGGAACATAAGTCGAAATATTTGCGATTGAAAGATGTGAGGGACACCTGGTTTCAGAGGACGTGTGTGGTTTGGTAATGGTCACCAAAGTTTGGTAATCTACATAGCTTGAGAGTCTTGGAAACTGAAAGTTTTCACTTTTTGTGCCTTTGAGCAATGTTATTCCAGTAAAAATCCACACAGAAATGTGTTTTAAAATGGATATACAAGGTTTTGAGCTGAAAAAAAAGAAAATTAGAAAAAAATTGCCTAACGGCCAGAAAACTGCCAATTTCTTTGGTTTCATTATTTTGACGAGCGCCTGATTTCACCACGCTGCTTCAGTTTGTTTGTTCGCGGGGAAATGTGGGCGTTTTCTGAAGTAGCACGCCAGTGTGGAGAATTCGAGTGACGACAAGTTTTCACGAAACTGGACTAGAGAGCAGCCAGAATCTAGCAAACACCGCTCGCTCGGCTATAACAGGCCCTCTGGAACGCGTCTCCTGATGTTGGCGAGTACTCTCCGGTGTCAATCGGCTGTCTCTGGGTGGTAGGTTGGCGGGTGCTCTGGTGTGGTTTGCTTCTTTTTTCCTATCAAACATCTATCGTCCATGTCTCCCCTTTTTCTTTTTTATGTTTGTTACTCTCTTGAAACACCTCCTATCTTCTGGCGCTCATATGACCTTATGCAGTTGCGACTGCCGTAAAACCTCTACTAAATACTGAAAAATCAAATCTTCGGCACTTATATAACCTTATTGTGTTGCAAGTTCCGTAAAACACTTACTAAAACCAACTAAAAGAAACTGGACTAGAATTAGAATCTAGCAAACACCGCTCGCTCGGCAACGACAGGCCCTCTGGAACGCGTCTCTGATGTTGGCGAGTACTCTTGGGTGTCAATCGGCTGTCTCCTGCTGGGTGGTTGGCGGGTGCTGTAATGTGGTTTGCTTCTTTTTTTTCTACCAAACATCTATCGTCCTGATCTCTCCTTCTTTTTTATAATGTTTGTTATTTTCTTGTAACTCCTCTTATCTTCTGGCACTCATTTGACCTTATGCAGTTGCGAGCGCCGTAAAACCTCTTCTAAAATTAAACTTCTGTGTGCATGTGTCTGTGTCTATCTATGTTTATGTGATTCCGTGTGCATGTTTGCTATTATTTCTGTGACTATCCCCCGGGGTAGTGCCACTGACTGAAGTGTCTTTAGGCCATTTTCAAAGGGGGGACATTTCTCGTTCAAATATGGTAGAATTGTAAATGGGCTGCCTCATGTCACGCTCATAACTGTGCCTGATGTACAACAGGGAACTGCTGCTTTTTTCTTTCCTGATCCTTACTATTGTCAATTTCCTCTACTTCTTTTGTATGTTTGTCACTCCCTTGTGACCTGCTATTTCCGGGGTGCCTTGATAGTCGAAGCAGACCTTGTGCTGTTGAAGCTAGAGAGGTGAGCAGTCTAAGTCTGATTCCCTGTAAAGACTTCTCTGTTGACACCCACCCCTTGGCGCTCATATGACCTTATGCAGATGCGAGCGACGTAAAACCCTCTACTATTAAAAAATAAATTTTAAAAATCTGTGACTTACGTGTACTGGCCAACTCGCTCACTCATGCACGCACGCCCGCGCGGGTGTCGACGCGAGTGTTTCTGCATAGAGCCCCAACTCTGTGATTGCGTGCCGGGTGGGCGTACGAGGAGTTTGTTTGCCCCTGGAAATGTGGACGTTTTCTGAAGTAGCACGCCAGAGTGGGGATTCCAGTGACAAGTTTTAACCCTATCCGTACGCCTTGGGGTCATTTTGTACCTCAGGAGTTGTATTCTTCACATTTTAGAATACTTCTATTACGAAGATCTCTTTGAAACTTTCAGTATTTCTCAAAAAATCATTTTGACAGACTGCTATTTTAAAGCGCACGGATCGGATTAACGAGTAAATTTCCTCTTTGGAAAGTGGTGGCACAGAGTTCCCCACATCGTATGGATACGATAGTAAAACGCGACGTACGGATAGGGTTAGGTGGTGGCACAGAGTTCCCCACGTCGTATGGATACGATAGTAAAACACGACGTGCGGATAGGGTTAAGTGTTGGCACAGAGTTCCCCACGTCGTA